AAAAAAAAAAAAGAAAAGAAAACCCAAAGACAAATGGGATGCAGTGGTATACAATGTAATCCCAGCTATTTGGGAGACTGAGACAGGAGAACTTCAAGTTTTAAGGCCAGTCTCCACAATTTAGTGAGATACTCTCAAAATAAAAAGATCTGGGATGTAGCCAAGTGGGAAGTACCCCTGGGTTCAATTCCCAGCACCACAATAAGTAAATAAATAAATAAGACCCTGTATCAAAATAAAAATTTTAAGGGCTGGGGATGTGGCTCAAGCTTGCCTGGCATGCGTGCGGCCTGGGTTCGATCCTCAGCACCACATACAAACAAAGATGTTGTGTCCGCCGAAAATTAAAAAATAAATACTAAAATTCTTTTAAAAATTTTTTTTAAAATAAATAAATAAATAAAAATAAAAATTTTAAGAAAAGGCTGAAATGTATCTCTGAGGTACAGCATTGCTGAGTTCAATCTCCAGTATTATGGGGAAAAAAACATTAAACATCTATATTTTTTTCCCTCTTGCTAATCTCTCTTTTGTGAGTTTAGGAGGGAGTTTTTCCTTCCCTATATTGTTTTACCCTTAGTTTCCACTATCTATTCCCCACACAGCAACTAGAACCAATCTTGTTAAAACACATGTCAGCTTATGTCAATCCTCTTTTCAAACTCTGCAATGGCTTCTCTTATCACTTAAAAGTAAAAGCCAAAGTCCTGAAACTCTGTAAGACTGGGCTGAGAATGTAGTTCTGTGGTTCAGCGAACATGTCTTTAGCATGTCCAAGGTCCTGAGTTCAAAAGAGACAAAACAAAACACAACCCAGTAAGACCATATAATCACCATCCATGTGATTTCCATTTGTTTTTGTTTTCTCTTGCTGGGGATGGAACCCAGGACCTCCAACATGCTAAGACAAACACTCTATTGCTGAGCGAGTCCCCTCCCCCCACTGCTGCCTTTCTTACTTAATTTCCTGTTATTCTTCGAACTCACTCCACTCTGGTATAATAAACTCCTTGACATTCCTACTGAATAAAAGAACTGACAAATATAAAAGCCATTTCTAGATATAGCATCAATTAAAATCCTAGTTTGAACTCAAAGCCAAAATGTTTTTCAGGTTATCAAGATAGGAAAGACATTTTGTTTCAAAATACCAATCAATTCACTCCTTAGTATCAATATTGTCAAGTATATATTTTAACTATTCTGTAAATAGATTTACTTCATTAGTGACTGTAAAAATTAACTAGTGAGGGCTAGTGGTTCAGTGATAGTGTTTGTCTAGCATGGTGAGGTACTGGGTTTGATCATCAGCACCACATAAAAATAAATAAAGGTATTGTATTTACGTACAACTAAAAAATTATTTTAAATCAGCTGGTAAAGATTTTTCGGTTTAATGTAATAGAAAATAAAAAAAAATTATAAAGTTAAGAACTACTTCGTAAAACTTGGGGTGCACTGGATGAACTACGTAAAGTGAATTTAGCATTAGATGAACTACATAAAGTGTATTTAAGTCAAGATCAAAAAACTGCTCAAGAAACCCCTAAATGGCCTAACTTCTTTTTTCTCTTAAGATAAACAACCTTAAAAGATAGAAAATATTTTCTGTCCCTAAGAAACAATAGTGGAATGTGCTGAGACCGAATCTTTGGTCAATTACATCATTTAGGGAATTAAGAAACAATTAGGAAATGATTCAAGGAACCATGCTTCTCTGAAGCAGAAATAAGGAAATTCAACATATTCTCTTTCAAGAATCCTAACATCTTCTTTTCAAAATGTTTACCGTTTACAAAGTGATTCACTTTGTCACTTTATCTGCACAACAGTTCTCGATGTGAGGAATAACAGTGTTTTTCCTCACAGAAAAATAACCTGTACAGGTCCCAAAATGTTAAAGGCCACAGCCTCCAGTTTTGGTGAGCCACCCTTGCACCAGAACCGCAGGCAGGCTTTGGTTAAAATCCCAATCCTGCCACGTACTCCGTAGCTTTGGCAAATCCCGTGTTATGGAATAAAAACATGATTCAAACCGCCCAAAATTAAAGGACGCCACCTTAAGAAGAGCTTCCAAATGAACCCACGGCCCCCCGCGGCGGCGGAGCTCCCATTCCTTGGTACCACTCCAGCGCCCAAGGAACCTAGAGTCCAGAAGGTTCGCGGGGGCGGGGCAATCGGAATTGTAAACAATGGCAGTTAGGCCTCCCACGTTCCTCCGTGAATGCGGAAGGCGAACCGAGCAGCTCCAAGCCCACCAGGGGGAATCGTAGACTGTGGCCTAGACCCTCGAGACCTCCGCAGCCCCGGGCCTAGCTCCTTCTCCCGCGGGCACCTGGGGCCGTAGCCCGTTCGGATCTGGGATAGGGACCATTGCCATTCCCTGAATCCCACAGGTCCGTTGAGGACACAGGACTCCGAACTCACCCAGCTGGCGAGGGAGAAAACGCCCAGCACAGCCCCCATGGTGATGCTGTGTTGGAGGTGGCCGGTCCGGATGGAGGTGCTCACACGATGTTAACTGCCAGCTGAGGCGTCGCCCCAGAAACGCGACGGTATCTCGGGCCGGAAGTACAGCCCACCCCCTCCCACGACGCGCGGTTTGCGTCATTGCGTGGTCCCGCCCACTATCCTCCGCAGTAGCTGCCTAGAGGGCACCTGTGATTGGCAGGAGATGGAAGAGGCGTGGCTAAATCTGCCTTAGGGGGCAAGACCTGCAAAAGCTGCTTTCCTATGTCTATTGTATTACTGGGAGGCTGATCTGAAGATCTGGGGTGGCGGGAAGTGCATAGATGTGCACAAAGAGACACGCTGTCTACTTTCGTAGAACTTGTGACCTAGGTTGAGGAGACTGACGATGAACGTAAATGCATCAAGCCATAGTGTGATGAATACTGTGAAGAAGTAGTATAGGGAATATTTTTTCAATAAAAGAATAGCTTAGTGGTAGAGTACTCTGGGTTGGATACACAGCACCGGGGAGAAAATGCATAATTATATATATTATATTTGTATATAAGTTGTATGTATTTTATAAAATTATATGTATAATTAAATATATATTTAAATGCCCACTTTATAAGGGAAATATAGTTTAGTTGGGAAGTAGTCATAGAAGTCTTTTCTGAGTAATTTATATTTGACTTGTGAACAGAAGGATGGATCCAAGAAATGTTACCTATGTCAAAGGACAATTCTGGGTTCAATTCAGTACTGGGGAAAAAAAAATAACGTCATTATGTTTTTTGGTGGTCATAAATTGAACTTTATATGAAGAATAAAGACAGATGGCAGAAGTTGGAGCTGTTAGAAAACATGCCTTCTTGTGGGTTCTGAGATTATGGTTCAATGTTTTCTTCTGGAAGGGCCAAGTGAAGTTAATGAAGCTACAAATGATCAATCCTGGTAAACAGTGAAAACTGGCAAGCTTTGTAGATTTTCAGAGGTTGAGTCCATAGTGAAATACACCCAAAATGAAGCAGAATATAATGACAGAAGGGCACAGCACAGGAAAGCAGCCACATGGCAACTAGGAATCATCACTGATCCGATAAATAAATATGTTTCAAGCAAATTGAGATTTCCCCCTTCTAGGAACACAGGCTTAACAGATAAGCATCCTACAAAGCAAGTAGAGATACCCTCCTGAGCAGCTGCAATTCCTGGGCACCAAATGGAGAGTCCCCTCAGTGGCAACCTCCTTGCCACTTGACAAATCTCTGTGTACTGTACAAACTCCTCAACTTTCACCTTTATTCTTTTCCCCCTTTGACCCCAAGCCTGCTGCAACACCCAATGCCCTTAAATCTGTCTTCCAGGTGTGACATACTGGAATTAATCCTGCTTCACCATCAACTTCTCCACCTTTTTTTCTGGGGGTTTGAGTGGCCAGACCAAGTCATCAGGGATCCTGGAGTTCAGCTTCTATCTGGGACCCTGGTAACAATTACACAGGTATCTGATAAGGGCAAGTACAGTACATTACTAGGCTATGCATGATTAATTGCTAGGGCAATTGTAACAGAGTCTTAGAAGCGGCTTTTGCTACAAAGCACTGACTCTTCAGTTGCGCCTGCAAATGTAACTAAGAGCAGGATTAACCTGGTATCTCCACCTTCATTTTGTATCTTCCTGCCTTTCTACCTTAAACTTTGGGTCAGATTACTGCTCAGCTCTGCATGTAGGCAGGTTAATCACTTAAGTCTGTCTAAAAATTGGTATTTCTAGGTTTGTGACCCCTATATTTATATAACCTATCTAGTCCCCCTTCAAGACTGAAGACATCAAAATAAGAATAAGGCATTTTTAAGATTTGCAAGGACATTCAACAATCAGCTTTTACAAGGTCCTGTCCAGTCCCTCTGGTGCCCAGAGGTCTTCACTCATTACCCTAAACTTACTCAGTCACATTGGATTCCAGGAACAGCAGAGCCTTGTAAGCAGATCACCCCATGATAAGATCACCTCCCCAAGGGGGAGCAATTACCCCATGACAGGAATTTAGGCTGCTCTCCTAAGCAGGAAAAGTCATCTCACAAGAACTGGATTGTCCCTTAAAACAATAAAGACTTCTCCTGGAGCCATCTTGCAGAACAAAACACTGAGATAATGATCAGCAGGACCAAGACTGCTTAATTATGCAGACTTCTCACTCCCTGCCCCAGTTCTTCCTCTATTTAAACTTAAAGCTCATGTCAGCACCCCCAAAGACATGACTACAGACTCCTGTTCTCTCTTGTCTTCTCAATGTAGCTAGATTGATTAAATTCTTTCCTATTTCATCATTATTTTTGGTTGTGTGTGTGTTTTGGGGAGGGGGGAAGTGGCAAGACGGAATTTGTTGGGACGACCAGAGTCAGGCCTCTGGCCTAGGACTCCGGTGACGCTGGAACAAAGCTGTAGTCAAAACTAATTAGCTTTACTGGACTGAAGGTATAGCTCAGTGGTAGAGTGCTTTCCACACACGTGCAAGGCCCTGAATTGGATTCTGACACTTCTCCCCCGAATTAGGTTCATTGAGCTTATTCAGCAAGGGAGAACCCACACCAGAGACACTAGGAGATGTCTTGGTAAGATGTAAGTGGGAGGAGTTTATTTTAGGACTTGTGCTAATGCTAAGGAAATAGGGATCTGTTTTGCACTGGACACGGTCAAGTAGGTGGGGCAGTTCAGTGACTAGGTATCTAATCATTTTTATCCAGGAGGTAGGAGGATTAAAAGTTGGAAAATCAGCAGAACCCAGTCATATTACAAGAGGAGATATATAGTTATATTTATGGTGCCAGAATGGTCTTGGCTCTAGTTTCGACCACAGAGTAACCTTATCTGGCATTTGTTTATATTTTGTGATCACTGTTTATGTTCAGTTAGGACATTGGGCCTAGCTGCCAGCAGAATAGTTTTTTTAATTTGTTTTGGTTTTGACTTTTTGCAATGGTGGGGATGGAAGTCAGAGCCTCATGCACATTAGGCAAGCGCTCCACCAGTGACCTATAGCCCCAGCCTTCATTTTTCATTTTCTTTTTTTTTTTATGTTTACATATTCTTTTTACATTTACATATTTTTTTACATAAATAAAATACATTTTATTTATTTATTTTTACATGGTGTTGAGGATTTAAACCAGGGCCTCACGCATGCTAGGCAAGCGCTAAACCACTGAACTACAGGCCCAGCCCTCATTTTTCATTTTCTTAACTGCAAGTGTTTATAATATGTGATACCATCCATCTCTTTAGTGCTTCTGGTCTTTAGATAGTTGTGGGCCTACTCTAGTTGTCAAAATCTGAAGGGCAGATCTTTGAGATCATCTACTTCAATTTACCACCTCATGCAGGACCCCCTCAACATCCCTTATAGGATATAGGATTCACTGACAACCAAGGAAGCTCCTTACATTTTTTTTTAAACTGCATAAAAGAGTATACAGTGAAATAAAGTGTCCTTCCCATCTTACCACTCCCAATCTTCCAGATCTCCTTCCAAAGTTTGTGTATAATTATGCTAGCATTATCTACTACACCTTTTTAGACATGGTACTATTCCAAATTCATGGTGCTGTACATTGCTTTTATTCACTTAACTTATTCATTCAATAAATATTTACCAAGCTCTTACTATGTATCAGGCACTATTTCCAGTGATAAGAAAACAGTAAGGAGCAAAACAAAGTACTTCATGTGCTGGGATTGTGGCTCAGCAGTAGAGCGCTTGCCTAGTAAGTGTAAGGCACTGGGTTTGATTCTCAGCACTGCATGTAAATAAATAAATAAAATTATAGGTCCATCAAGAACTCATAAAAATATTTTTTTAAAAAGTACCTAACCTTAAAACAAACTTAACCCTAGTGAAGAGATAAGTAATAAAGAAACATAACCATCAGAGGTTAACAAGATTAGTGAAGAAAGAAAAGAAGAAAAAGAGAATTCAAATTTGTGGGGATCTACTGATATTTTTTTTTTCCTTTGAGACTGGATCTTGCTGTGTTGTACAGGCTGGACTTTAACCAGAAGCCCTCTTGCCTTAGCCTCACTGAGTGGCTGAGACTACAGGCATGTGCTACCATACCTGGCTCATTAGTTTACTAGTTTAAAGAGAGGTCAGGGGCTGAGATTATAGCATAGTGGTAAAATTCTTGCATTACATACACAAATTCCTAGTACTGCAAAATAAATAAAGAGGAAGCAGGACATGTCTTTTGGGGGATGGGATGGGATGGGAGCAGAGACATGAAGGAAGAGAGGACACATGCGATAGGGCTATGTGGAGGAATGCTGGTCCCAGTGTGTACCAGCAAAAGCCAAGCCATCAAAACCCACAAAAACAAGACAAGACCATAGAAAAACACAAGGCTAGTGTGCTGCAGCATGGACAGGCAGGAAAATGGTGAGAGGTGAGGTTGGGCAGGGGATAATTCACTTAAAGGGATTGTTGATTACAACAAATCTAGATTTTATTATAAAGGTGATGCAAAGCCGTTAAGAGGCTTTAAACAGAACATCATGGAAACCAGATTTAAAGATAGGTAGTTAGTGTAATTAGGTAAATTGGGTCTAATATCGAGAGTAAGATACATAAAATGGAGACCATTATAGAGAACAGAGTCCAGGAAACCAGAGCAGCACTTGAGGAAATTGAAATGTTAATGTCCCCAAGGCCTGGAATTCACCCTAAGGAACTATTAATGAAGCAGCTCCCAGCAAACAGGGAGGTGCTAATCAAACCACCCCAGGCCCTTCCTGCCCAGATTACTCCTTCAGCCCACCTATCTCCCACCTTTAGGGCCTTCCCACCTGCATTCTATCACTGCAAGACAGGGAAACAAAGGACAGGAGCGTGGGAAAGCTAAAAGAAGACCTTAGCTATAAAAATGGGAAGACGTCCCCCTTCCAGGGATTCCACCTTTTGGGTCCCCTTCTTCCTCCTCCTCCTGGGGGGTGGGGGAAGGCTTTTCTGCTGTCCTTTATAAAGCTTCTGGTTTCCACTCTAAACTTACATGGGCATGCTTCTCTGGTGTTATACTTCAGCATTCGGGGAAGCAAGGACTGGTCACCTGTAAACAGTGGTAACATCATGATCCTATTTACACTTTAAAAGGATCATTTCTGGACACTGGTTGGAGTACAGATCACATAATTCCTCTTCCTTGTAATTGTTTTCTTGGTCAGTTCAAGAATTCACTTTCCCAGCAGATAGTAGTCTAATACACATATAGACTCTGGTCCCCTCCATTTTGAAATGCCCTTTAAAAGTTGTCTTTTATCATATATTTCTTCTGTATTTTACAGCACTCAACTGGCTAAGTCAGTTCGAAAATTACACAGGGAAGGAGGATGTCTAAGAGTAGAAGCAGGACTAGTTAACAAGATAGGTCTATTATCTATCTAAACTGTATCTCCATCTGTAACTTTCCCTGGACCCTTTAAATTCTTGCAAGAGTCATCTATTTTAGGAATGTACCGGAATCTATTTACTCAAACCTCCTATTGATGGACACTTAGCTCGGTTTCAATCCTCTTGCTTTTACAATAAAGAAAGGAACATTCTTTGTGTTCAGGTTCCAGTATTCTGCAGCATTGTTCCGGGAAGTGTAATCCGACCATAAGGTAAAATACATTATTTCCCATATTGAAATTGACTCTGGTGAGTAAATTCTCAGCCAAAGAAATAAGTTTATTTACTTCTTGCTCCCAACTTCAGAGATTATAACAGACAGGAATCCACCATTCCTCCCAAATTAATTTTCCAGTCTTTTTAAGAACATTCTCTGTCCGGCAAGCTTGTGCCTGAGGGTCCCTCTCCTTCCCAAACGGTCCCCTTATCGGGTTACAGAGAGATTAACAGACAAAAGTCGCTCCAGAACCAGAAGTCCAGCCCCTGGCCTCTGTGTCCCTCTTCTCGCATCTTCCCGGGGACCAAGTTCCGGGCTGACAAACCTAACTAGGTGGCTCGAGACTCCGGATCCCGATCCCCACCCTCTTCTCCCTCTTCCGCTCGCACCGCGGCTGCGGAAAGCGACGCGAATCCTCCAGGTCCCATCCGAGCCGCCGTAGCGCGAGCCCCGCTGGAGTTCTCAGCCCCGGTCGCCAAGGCAACGGCTCCGCTGCGGGCTGCGGGCGCCTGGCCGCCCCGGGGAGGCGCTGCGCGCTGGCGGTCCCACACGGCGAGGCGGCGAGACAGCAGGTGAGCGGGGACCAGCGGGCAGCCGCGGCCCTAACGCCCCCAGCCAGGTGTGAAGTGAACTCGTCGCTGTGGGCGAGGTGCTGGGCCGCGGGGGACCGCAGGGAAGGACGCAGGGGCCAGACTTTCGTCCCCCTCAACCGCCCCGGGAGTGGCGCCTTCTATGCCCTTTGACCTCGTCCCGCGTTCGGGTGGAGTGAGCTTTGGGCGGTTGGCTATATTTTTGTGCATTGCTTGACCGCTTTGGAAAGAAAGTTTCTTTCTTTTCTTTTAAAGACCCTAATTATTTTGGGAACCAGGGAATAATTCAAAACTGCAGAAAATGTACGCGTGTGTGACTCTTCTGGGGCCAGAGAGGTTTGACTTCTTCATTAGTTTTCTTACCTGCAAAATGGGAATAATGATAGCACCTGTCTTATAAGGTTATTGCAGAGTAAATTTATGTTTAAAATCCTTGCAGGTAAGTCCTTAATACTCGGGAGCTTTTATTGTCACTACTACTACAAGGAGCATCATTGAGCATTTATTGTGAGCCAGGGCCTGGGCTGATCGCCAGGGTTAAAAAAATGAATGAGAAATCTTGTCCTCAGGGAACTCTGCAGTTTCACAGAGACAGACTCATAAACAGGAACTCATTGTGATTTGAGCTGTGATTTTGGACATACTGAGAACTGAATGCACAGGAAAGGCAGTGGATCTAGATTTTTCAGAGATGATGATGGTCAAAGGTTCTAAAAGAAGGGGACTTCCAGAATAGACATGAAGGCCACCTTGGTATAGGTCAGAAGATGAGGCTGGAAAGGTGCAGTGTAGTGTGTAGGCAGGACAGCCAGTGCAGAGCCCCAGGGAGAGAGTGCAGCCTTCTTGGGAATCTGCAGGGATTTCATGCTGCCTAGAGACAAGATTCTGAGAGTGGAGGTGGTCTAGCTAGTTGATGTTTGAGAGATAAGAAGTTGCCCCTTTTGTAAGACTTTCTATACCAGTTTGAAGAGTTGGACTTTATTTGGGGGGAGAGGAAGTCATCAAATAGGGGTGTGTGTGTGTGTGGGTGTGTGTGTGTGTGTGTGTGTGTGTGTTTGCATTCGAGTGTACATGCAGGTACATGCTCCTTCAGAGGTATGGTTTCAGAAAAATCAGGTTTTTTGTTTGTTTATTTTTAGTCTTGTCACTCCTCGTTTATTTTTCCACTTCACAGCTATTCATTTATGGTGGTTCAAAAACTAGTTATTGAATATTGTCTTAGACCATATTTTCACTTAAAGCTGGGTAATTTTATAAAGAAAGTTTATTTAGCTCACAGTTCTGGAAGTTCTAGGCAATGACCTTCTATGGGAAAGGGTAACTGGATATTGAACCCAGGAAAACCCTGCCATTGAGCTATATTCCTCTTTTAAATTTTTTTTTTTTATTTTGAGACAGTTTTGCCAAGTTGCCTATGTTAATCTTGAACTTGCAGTTCTCCTGCCTCAGTCTCCTTACCAGCTTGGATTGTAGGCATGCACTACTATGCCTAACTTGACAATGGCCTTACTGGCAGAATCAGGGGGTAGCTCAAGGCACCATGTGGCAGGAGACAGAGAGCAGAGGTATGTCTTCTGGTCTGCTACCATTATGCAGTCATGGGAGCTGCACCCTGACAATTTTATCTAATCTAATCATCCGAAAGGCCCCATTTCTGAACAATACCCTCTTAATATCTCACAGTGGAGATTCAGTTTCATCATATGAACCGTTGGGTAACACATGCACACCATATCCAAACCATAGCAAGTGTCTTATTATGTGCCAGGCACTGTGTAGGTGGTAAGGATACTTATCTCTACTCTCATGGAGATCACAGGCTGGTGAGGAAAATATGTGTCAAGTGGTTTTAAGTGTGGTGAGGGTTATGAAATGGGGCTTGTGTTAAGGTGAATCCAACCTAGTTTGAAGGTTCAGGGAGGGTCTTGATAAAAGACCTGAGGGAGTACTGTGAGTTAGATATATGTGGGGGGATGTAAAAGAATAGTATTCCAAACATGTTCAAAAGAACATTCATGGAAATGAAACCAGTGTGCTCCAGCAGGAACTTAAAAATCAATTATGAAAGAAATCCATCAAGAGAGATTAAAGAGAGGAAAGGGCTAGATCATTCAGAGCTACTGCACTGCACACTCTGGGAAGAACCTGTTCAGGTAGGCTACACTGAGGAGAACAGGTTGGAGAAGTAGGAGGGAAAGCAGGAGATGTAGTAACGAAGGCCAGAGGAAGAGTCAGCTTTGCTATGGCTGCTAGATGTCAAGTAAGATGAGGCAAAAATTAAAATGTGTTCTGTAAATAAATAAGTAGCAGAGGTCACTAGGGACCTCATTGAGCAGATTTGGTGAAATGGTGGAGGCAGAATCTATAATAGCCACAGCTTTCAAAGGTTCAGTGTAATGTATCAGTGGGATGAGGTCAGAGTGGGATGTGAGAAAAAAGACAAAGTGTAGGCAGCTCGAAAACATTCGGCTGAGCAGGGAGGAGGAGAAGGCTGGAGAGTGATTGAGGAATAAGGTGAAGTTTTTTTTTTTTTTTTTTTTAAGCATGAGAGAGAGCTTAAATGCTGTTGGCAACAAGCCAGTAGGAGGGACAGGCTGAGGAGATGCAGGAGCCAAAGAGAAAAACTGAGAGCACAACTTTGCTGAGAAGGTGGGAGTGGGAGCTCCATAGCAGCGGTCCTTGCTAATTATCTCATGGTTTACTCTTTTGGGAGAATTGGGGAGAGAGTTCGTTGCCAACAGAAGTGCACCAGTGTCATGCAACAAAAATATATGAATAAAAAATATTACCGTGGAAAGAAAGTCACATTTTTGTAATTGGTAGGCAGCAGGTATTTATTGAACTAATATTGTGTTAAATACTTTTCATACACTAATTTCAACAATATCATCCCTCCTTCCCTATGCTGGGGATTGAACCCAGGGGCATTTTTCCGTTAAGCTCCATCCCCAGCCCATTTTATTTTTTATTTTGAGACAGGGTTTCACTAAATTACCCAGGTTGGCCTTGAATTTGGGATCTTCCCCCTGCCTCAATCTCTGGAGTAGCTGGGATTATAGGTATGTGTTGCCACGCCCAGCTCAATAACATGATCTTTACAGTAATCCTGTGAGATAGGCCCTATTTTGATCTCCAGTTTATGGATGAGGAAACTAAGGTAAAATGCTTACCCATAGTCAGACTGTATTTGAATCCTATATTTTACTCTGCCTGAGCCTAGAGCTTTTACTCTTAATCACTACTTATGTGATATAATTCTCTACCTGTGATATGATTATATGCTAAGAAAATTAAGTTAAAAATACCTAGATATAATAAGGTTGAATGAACAAGCAGCTACAAGACAGAGAACCAGTGATAGCTTTTTCTTTCTTTTCTTATTTTTATTTATTTATTTTTTGGGTGCTGGGGCTATAACCCAGGGTTTCAAGCATGCTAAGTGCATGTTCTACTACTGAGCTATACCCCCCACCCTAAAAAGCAATAGCTTTATGCAAGCAATAATAATTAGAAGATGTAATTATAGAATAAATGACAATAGGAACAGGAAAAAAACATGAATAAACTTACAAATAGGTGCCACATAGAATAGTAATTGGCTGGAGGTGGGGTGGGAGGATAGGAAGGATATTAGGGTGAAGAGGAGTTAGTTTTCCAGTGGGGAAATTAAGACTATTAATATCAGAAAAGGGGCAGGTAAATAGGGATCTGTAATAGGCCATTATGAAAAAGTATGCAAAGATGTTGCCAGTGATGTATTTATAATATTGAAAAACTGAAAGCAGACTGGTTGAATTATGGTGCAGTCATGCGATGGTTACTTCAGCCATTAAAAAAGCATTAGGTGGGAGCTACATATAGTAAGATATATATAGAAAGATGTTTATGGTTATGTTTCTCTATGCATAGAAAGATCTTTGCATCGTATGGTTAGGTGTAAAAAGTAGATTACAGTACAGTATGTTCCCATTTTTTAGAATATATATATATATAT